ATGAGCAGAACATAGGGAAAGCGTGCAACTTGATGTAACTGTAAGTCATTCCCATTTCTGAAAACAAGATGGTGAAAAATAGCCAAAGATAGCAATTTCTGAAACCTTTTGTGCCTTTCAAGAATTTCATTTTCTTGTACATACATCCATTTCATTTTCTGTGAAGACTGGTGCATGTCAAGCTCATTCTTTCCCATGGCCTCTAGAACAGTTGGACAGCAATTCTTATCCATAATGCTTAGGATAATAGGAGTTGTAGTTCTTTCCATCTGGAGGGTTTTTGGCTAGAGAAATTCATATAGCTAGGTGGATTCACATTGACTTTGGTTTATGCTACTTTTACTTTTACTGAGACTGATATCTCAGTAAAAATTTAAAAATACAATAAAAAATAGTAATTCTAATATTTATTGACATACATTGCCTGTACTTGAGCAAATAAAATTAATCATTTTAACCAATCAACAATTTTAGTAATGTTGCAATTGGAGCCAGTTACACTCCATATGTGAGCACTACTTGAAATTGATGGAAACCCTACCTGCACTACTAGTTTTATTCTGCTTGTAATTCAGACATTGTTCTCCTTACTGGATTTTTGCGTTAGTTAAATTCCTTAAAAGTTACTGTTTCTTAAGTGTACCACAAGATACGCTTTTATATAAGTGATTATTTTATTTTTTTATTTATTTATTTATTTATTTATTTATTTATTTATTAGTTCAATTTATATGCCGCCTTTCTCTGGAGACTCTGGGCGGCTCTGATATAACTCTTGCTATATCAGGCTCTGAAATATACCTGATGTGGAAGATATATCACTGGATGGCTGTTTAAGTTATTTTATCCTCTCAAGCATCTGAGCTATTATTAGTATGCCTTTTTAAAGAAATTATTTTTAACCAGCTTGTATTTTGCCCTTTAACATTCCAGCATAGAGACAGTGTACAGCTGTTTTAGAGTAAAGCTTAAAATCAATTATATGAAACTGCTACACTTCTTTAAACTATTTCCCATGTGAATTATGTTGCTGGACAAAATAAGATAATTTATAAAACAGTTACATATTTGTATCTTACAAACTTGACGGGTCATCTTAATTTTTTTAAAATTAAAGATTATTAAACTTTAAAAACTAAATTTAGTTGGCTTTGCTGGCTTTATTGGATAAGATTTAAAGCAAAAGTAGGAAATAAAGTCAGAGTGTTTAGCATTTGAAATGTTAAAAAATGGAACACCCATAGAGACTGATTTTTGAAGTACCAATAATACCTTAAAAATGAATCATTGAAAATAATTATGTCAAAGAATAGATTGCTCTAAATGAAACCACATTGTAATAAAATATTTGATACCCAGAAAGATTATTTAGTAGAATATTAACAGTATAATATTCTAGGTGAATATAAACATTAATTTGCAATGAAATAGACATATACAGAAGGAAGATAGAATGACGAAAAGAGAAATGTTTAAAGTATTGATGAGGGCTACTTGCAATTCTTGGTTTATTGTATTATAAATGATAATTCTAGAAGAAACGTAGCAGCCATTCTGGACAAATAGTTGTCCAATGTCATTTTTTTTTATTAAAAAGTTTTACAGAAGGTTTACATATTCCCCCCCTTCCCTACCACCCCAACCCCTCCCCTCCCTTACCCCCCATCCCTCCCCCCCTTTCCCCTTCCTATCCGCCCACCTCCCCCCCCTTCCCAGAACAAATTACAGGGTATAACATTCAACAAACATAATCCATCCTAATCTAAGTAATTATAACATTCAGCATCTCTTATTCCTTCAATTCCCTAATTACCCTGCTAACTTAATTACCTAAAAACACACCAAATATCTACATATTTATTCATAACCTATCTGCAACTTCTTATTCCGGTGTTTACTTTGGATATAATCTATCCATCTTCTCCAGTCCCTTAAATATCTTTCATTTGAATGTTCTTTCAAGTACGCCGAAATTTTTGCCATCTCCGCTAGGTTTGTTACTTTCATTGTCCATTCTTGGATTGTAGGTAAATCTTGCTTCTTCCAATATTGGGCCACCAACAATCTTGCTGCAGTTATTAAATTCAAAATCAAATTAGTCTATACCCAGCAGAAACAACTGTGGTGTAAATTTTAACCTCTTTTAAAAAAATGTTTTGTAAAATCTACCAAATTTTTATCCAGAACGCTTTAACCTTTTTACATGTCCACCAAATATGGAAGTATGTAGCATCCTCACAATCACATCTCCAACATTTTGGTTGTACATTCGGGTACATACAAGATAGTTTTTTTGGATCTAGATGCCATCTATAAAACATTTTATAAAAATTCTCCCTTAAGTTTTGCGCACCACAACCTTTGAAGGCAAGCTGTTCCATTGATTAATTGTTCTTACGGTCGGGAAATTTCTCCTTAGTTTTAGGTTTGAACTTTCTTTGGATAAGTTTTCATCCATTGCTTCTTGTCTTGCTCCCAGGTACTTTGGTGAATAGGTTGTCTTCCTCTTCTTTGTGGCACAAGGCCAGGTTACTCATGGGGGTCTCCTCTTTCTGAGAGTATCTGCCCCATCCTACCAGATCAGAAGGGTCCAGGTTCCTTTCCTGAATCAAGTGGGATCTCAGAAGAGTGCCCCTTCCCATGGTTGCCCCTATCTTATGGAACACCTTTACCCAGCAACTAACAATCTTTTTAGCCTTCCAGAAGATCATTAAAGTCTTTGCCCAGGCAATAAATAAAGGCTGAACTGTGGAGAGCTTTGGGGCCTTTTGGAGGTTGAGTGAGGTGCTGGGTTTTTAATTTTTATATGTTTATATAGGTTTCTTAGTTTTATTGCTGTGAGCCCCCCCACAAGATTGTCTGAAGATGGGCAGCCATACACATTTTTTAAAATAAATAATAAATGTAGTGTGACCCATGGGACGTCTATGGAAGAAGGAACTTTCCCACCACTATGAAAGAGAGAGATCATAGGTTACATTTCATGGAGTTGACGTTCTGTAATAAAGAACAATTTTAGTCCAATTAAGAAAGTTTGGCAAACTGATCAGTGGTGAAAGATATGATAACATTACTCTAATTCAGAGGTCTTCAAACTTGGCAGCTTTAAGACTTGTGGACTTCAACTCCCAGAATTCTCTGGGAATAGCATAGCATAGCATAGCTGGCTGGAGAATTCTAGGAGCTGAAGTCCACAAGTCTTAAAGCTGCCAAGTTTGAAGACCTCTGCTCTAATTCATTGTGATTATCTAGGAAGAATTTCTCATTGTTCCTTTATCTTGTTCCTTTATTTTGTAGAATACAGTATTCCATAGTTGAGCAACATTATTGAAAGAGAATATTAGCAATGGTGAATATATTTAATGCATTCCTGATGTGCGGAGTAGTAAGTAATAAGGAATTTGTCAAAATATTCTCCAGGAGGGGAAAAAAATAATTTCATTCAAAACGAATTGCAGTTATATTCATTTGCTAGAGTTTTGTTCCCTTTTTAACAATTTTAATATATTAATAGCATCTCTTGATATAATCTACAAAAAATTATTTTAAAAATGTATTTATATCACTGCTCACTAAGCCCACTGAGAACTCTGGTAGCATCAGAGCCAAAACTTTTTGTTCTGGTTCCTTGTATACATACAAATTTCTAAGATGTTTCATTTGAATTATCTTTTGCAATTGAATTATGCATTATTATGATTTCTCTGTGATAAACAGATTGTATCTTCCCTGCATATTAAAACTGTTTTTATCTATCCAAAAATGGCCATGCATAAAATACAGGATAACAACTCATATGGGTTTTTTTTTTAAATTGTTACAAATGTAGCCATTACAAAACTTGTGCATTGAATGTTGAAATAAGAATGGCCTTTGTTCTCATATCTTTAAGAAAATACATAAACTATACAAAGTGTCCATTGGGAATCAAGTGTGCTTTGCCCTTATTTAAAAATATTCCAAAAAGTTGCTAAATTGTAACCTAACTGAATTAATTTCATAGAACCAATGGAAGCAGTAAACAACGGGGAAGATATTTGCAGTTGCTATTAAGAAAATCTGTAAAGTTTGATATCTTTATATTTCTTAGGAATAGGTATTTTGGGAGGGCTGGAAGTTAGTGTAGCATTTTTTATATAGGAAAGCAGTTTGAAATTGGTGTTCATGAGTAGAAAGGAAAAAGTTAGCCCACCTCTTTCCTCACTATTTTTCCTCCTTTTTATTTTACATAAATAGTCACTTACTTGTTCGCATTTAAAGTAATTTTATTTTAATAATAATAAAGCCCATGGTTTGCATTTGCATATTTCATGGACCATTAGGTAATGATTTAAAGATATATTTACAAACCTTTTACTGTATGACACAAGATAAGATATTTTATTTCTTAAAGAATTTAAAAACCACATCTAAAAACACAGTAGCAAAGCAAGAAATTTTGCAAAAGGTTATATTGAAGCATACATAAAAGCTCCATCCACTCTCTAAAAGTTGTCTCTTCCAAGGTGAGGTTTGCCCCAACTATTATGGCCTTCCGGAAAGACCTTAAAATTTGTTTTTGTTTTTTTCAGCAAGCCTGGGAATCTTCTGGTGATAGAAAGTCCACATGTTGATGGTATTATGTGTAATATTCTCCCACTTGTGGTTGTCTTTTTAATTCTATTTCATTGTTCTTAATGGATTTTGCAGTGGGTTTTAATAGTAAGTTTTATTGTATGCTATCTAGAGTCACTTTGTGTGAGATCAGCAGCTATGTATATCTGATAAATGTGTTGGAATCATGTAACAAATCAGAAACACATGTGTTAGGATAACGTAACATTGCTATAAGCATATCTATTTATGTGTAGCAGTTTTATTTAAAATTCTCTCAATAATGGTACTTTTTTTTCCTCGATGACAACACTTTGAGGTTCTACGAAGTATTCTATGTTGTATGTTATAAAGATTTGGAATTTTGTCCTGATTTATACTAATGATTTTTATCTCTCTCTTTCTAGATGTTACATCTTGGGACAAGTTGACAGTATCTTTCAGATGAACCTCTGCTTAAAAATATGCCATTTGTACATGCTACTCAGTCTTCTTGAAACATGGGTGAAAAAGACAACGATAAGTACAACCAAGCTAATCAAATATTTGAAAGCTTTGTTCAAGCTCAAACATGCAAAGGTTCGATACAGGCTTTTAATATTCTCACTCGCCATCTTGAATTAGATCCTTTGGACAACAGGAACTTTTATGTCAAACTTAAATCAAAAGTGACCAGCTGGAAGGCCAAAGCTTTGTGGAATAAGCTAGATAAAAGGGCAAGCCATAAGGAATATAAACGTGGAAAATCTTGTACAAACACAAAGGTAAGGTGAATTTTGTACTTTATTTTGAATCTGATCCTGCTTGAATAAATCAGGCGACCCTCTGATTTTATAGAAGAAATTTTGGGATACTTCTTTAGGTTTAATAATATTTCTGCACAAATTTCCTCTTATGGATAAAAGTTCAAAAGTTCCTATGCTTTGCTATTCATACATACTATGTACATCTGTTTTTTAGTATTTGAAAGTTGAACATAATACATACTTGTAAATTTCTAGTTGCTTTAATCTGTACTGTAAATATAACAAATAAAACAAAACAAATTCAAATGTTAATTTTAATATATTAAAATATATGTACTTGCTTCATCTACTCACCTTTTGAGGAAGATTATTGTCATATTTAACTTGCATTCAAAGTCAATGCACAATGCATTCAAAGTCAAAAATGCAAAGTGTGCTGGGAATACTTAATAAGAAACAAAGCAGCTTTTTTGTTTCCACTGTCAGCTTTCATAAGAACCTGTGAGTGAATGGTCACTAGGTAGGTGGAAGGGAAACATCCTTACTGAAAAACTGAATTCATTTGCATCCAATTAGGGTAAAATCCTCTGTTTCAAATGCAGGAAATCAGGAGTCCAGGCAGTTCAAATGAATATAAGGGTTTATTGCAAGCTTAAGCTCTCTACAAGAATCTGAATTACTAACAGTCAAAGGCACTGTTGACAAAAGAGTCAACAGAATTCAAATGGACTGGACTTAGATCTTTTGTGGACATGAAGGGATTTGAGACTTGTGATGTGTTTGACTCCCTCCCTTAGGCTCATCCTGGTTATCTTCTACACTGTGAATCTAACATATTAATACAATTAGTCCTCTTAATGACAGTAATTAGGCAACTCTGTCGATAAATAAAGGGGTTGTGAAACACAATGTTATATAATCGCATCAACTCATGTAGTTTCAGTTGCAGTTGTTGAGCTAAAAAACTGTGCAGGATTCACTTAATATCACAAGATTAACATTTTGATCCTCCTGCCAGCTTCCCAATGACTTTACTTGTTGGAAGCAGACAATGAAAGTCACAGATGTTGATCATGTGACTGCAGGATTCTGCAACTGTCGTAATTGTGAGCTGGTTGCCAAGTGCCTGACTGTGGAGATGCTGTGACAGCGTCAGCTTTGAGAACTGACCATAAGTTTCCTCATGCAACACTGTCCTACCTGTGAACTAAGTCATTAACTGTAGCACTGATGTGAACGAGATAATTTGAGTTACATGTTGAATATATGGAATATGTGCAACTTAAGTACGGTAGTTAGTATCCTTCTGTAATTAAGGATTTTTAAAAATGTGTTTTTTATCCCCAGGTTAGAAAAGAAAGAACTGGTCTATCCCAAAATCTGTTATTAACAATGGCTTTCTGACATTTTTTAAAATGAGAATATTCCACAGAAACTAAAACAAAAATAACACTTTAATAGAGAACAGTACATATCAATTTAATAAATTTCAGTTACTCCAAAATGATCCAAAATTGTTTTATATGCTATCAGAATAACCAGACTGTATGTATGGAATGCTTAATCTGAGGAATGTAATGAAAACACTGACTGGATTGCTGGCCGAATGTAACTATCAAGCAAGCATTCTTTACTGATGAATCATTGTTTCCTGTCAAAAAATATCTATGATATAAATATGAGTGATAGGAAGTGCAGAAATAAGAACAACTCCCAAGTGACTACTTTGAGGCAGTACTGGTATTAAAATACTAAATATACTAGGTTTAGCACCTTAGAAGATTAAATTACATGCCAGTATATAAATCAGCTGTGGAATTAAAATCTTCCATACAATTAACAAGAACAAATATACTTGGAACAAAATATGATTCTCATGTTGAGCATTAATGGTTATAGAATTACTTTGTGAGCGGGCTAGAATGTTTCGCTAAATGTTAGAAAATCATGTTGAAATTTCTGCATAGTAATAAATATAGCAGCAGTCTTGCATCTTACTGTCTATATTATTTCTGATTGTCTGTCTGTCCGTCCGTCCATCCATCCATCTATCATCTATCTTGTAGCCTTAAAATGTATATATTGCATTATTTATAATGGGATGTATAAGTATAAAATACATAAAATAAAAATAAATGTAATGGTTAAGGCATTAGGCTAGAAACTGGGAGAAAGTGAATTCTAGTGTCACCTTAGGCACAAAGCCAGCTGGGTGACCTTGGGCCAGTCACTTTCTCTGAGTCCTAGAAAGTAGGCAATGGCAAACCACTTTTGAAAACCTCACCAAGAAAAATGCAGGGGTTTGTCCAGGTCGTCTGAGAATCAGACATGATTGAATGGAAGAAAATATATACATACAGTAGTGAAAAATAATAAATAAAAATATCTGAAACAAAAAACCGAGGAAAATCAATAGATGTATAAGAAACAGTGACATTCAATTTTAAATAAAGATATATTTTCAGATGTTGGATATAGCAATATTAGAATCGACAGCTTTTTAATGTTGAGGGAGAACTTTGACAGATAAGATCTGCTTTTGTAGGAAAAAGTAAGCATTCGCATTTCTATTTTAGCCTCTGATTTAATAGGAATGCCTGTCTAAAATCAATTTTGAGGTAGGAGTACCTGAGGAATGCAAAAAGTCTGAACCACGTTTTCCATATTGATTAAATTGGAATCATTGTATATTTTCTAATGTTGCTTCTTCTAATTTCTGCATATTTTACTGAACTTGATTGTTAGACACAATTGGGAAAAAACCGGGGTATTGGGTAGAATAATTAATTGTACTATCACTTATGCTTTTGAAAAAGCTGAATTTAGTCTATTAAATACTATGCAAAAAGGCCGGCAGAGCACCTGAGATATGACCAAACCTCCTTCAATAATTCAATAATCTTGACAGTAAAAATCATATCGCAATGTTAGCTCTTGTATACTGTGGAGGGTGTGTGTGTGTGTCCAACTAAATATTACTTCATTGTCATTACTAGTAAGTCAATTGTGCATTATTCAGAAAGGAGGGATTCATCTGGATCAGAACTCTTAACATGGAAGTGGGTGATTTACTACCTGTCTTGCTATAGTTCTGATTTATAACACACACACACACACACACACACACACACACACACACACACACACTTTCCTGCTTGTCGGATAGCTGCTGATCTAATATCAGTAGAAGCAATGGATGGCTTTTTCAGCGGGGCAGATATTTACAGAGAAGGTTGGGCAGGCCGTTCTTGCTCTTTAAAATTCGTGCAAATGGAACACCTACAGCTATCTGACGTAATCCTAATCACTTTTCCCAGTCAGTGCTTCAAGAACAGACAGACTGGCAATAAGTGCATTGCTTAATCTGTTTGTTTTTGTTTGATAATGTCTGGAATACAAACTGAGCTTTTTTAAAAAAATACAGTTCCACAGTAAGATACGTAAATACTTCACCATACCCTTTATGCATTTCCAGCTAGCTGAATTAAGGTGCACAAACATAGATATGGCAAGTGTGCTCTTTGTTAGATTAATATTAAACTTTATTGTTTCTTAGCCAAGGCTGAAATGATAGATCAATTTCTCAGGAAAAACGAAACTAGTTAATATTTAAAAGTATTAAATAAATAACTTTATTGTCATTGTATGTGTATACACAGTATACCCATACAACAAAATTCACTTAACACCCAAAGACCAGGTCCAACACACATAACAATCCCAAACACACTTCCACCCACCACAATTCCCCATCCCTAAACCACCCAAACATCCACACAACACACCAAGTAATGCTGTCCAACAGCTCACTGATGGTGGCCCTTTAGTTCATTGTTGAGTGCAATTATAGCTCTGGGATAAAAACTATTCAGAAAATGTGTGCTCCGAGTTTTAATTGTTCTGTATCTTGTGCCGGAAGGCAACAGTCCAAAAAGATTATAAGCAAGATGGGAAGAGCCTCTGAGAATGTTATGCAACTTTCTCAAACAGCGAGATTCGAAGATGTCGTCCAGGGCTGGTAGCTGGAGCCCGATGATATTCTGGGCAGTTTTGATGATTCTCTGTAGAGCTTTTTTGTCCGCTACAGAGCTGCTCCCATACCATGCAAGAATGCCGTATGTCAGGATACTCTCAATGGTGCTGCGATAGTAGGACAGAAGTAGATGCTGAGATAAATTTATCTTCCTGAGCATTAATTAGTATACATTATAATGGAAGAAAAAAAATTCCATTCAAGCTTCACTAAGCTAAGTCTATCTTGATACTATAACAAAGTAAAGTATTCTGAAAAATGTAGTTCAGAGAGCAATGAATTTATTGTTTTAGGTACATGTTTCAAGTAAATGTTTCTTGAACAACACACACTCTTCCACTCCCCCCACCCCATTTTATCCAAATTTAATGACTTTTGGCATTGAGGAGTTTCTAAAGCAATCGGGCTTGGAGGAAAAATTTAAAGTAATGAAGTACCTACCATACCTTCTCCCCTACAGCTCTCTATATAGTCTCAGGCTAAAATATTGGGGGTTCATGGGGGATTGTCACAGGCAGCCTGGATATTTTATCAGAATAAAATGTTACACCAATGACTACCATGTTATAAATTATGATAATATCAGTTCCATATTTAACTCTACCTTTCAAATCCTGGATACTATTTTGGGGGAGAATTTGGTATAAATTATTCCAGAAAAAATGAACCACTTGTGTGAAGTGCAAAAAGAAAACAAACTTTGAATTTGTTTCTATAGAGCTGTAATTATGGTCAAGGTTTTGGAATGGATAACTTGGATATATATTTTTTTTATCTAACATGAGCTACTAGCTTTATTCAGCTCCTGACAGGATTAAACAGGAATTGCAAATGGTTGATGTACAAGGTGGATGTGAAATTGAGGAAATAAGCAGTACATGCTGTACAGTACTTTGCATTGTACTCTGAAGCTCATTTGAAAGTGTGATTTCTGCATATAGTTTCAGAACAACTTTTAACATTTGTAAGAGTGAAAAAGGGTTGG